TCATTATTATATCGTTAAAAAAAAGTTGAATGTGAGAATACTTTTTTTGTATACTGTTACATATACTAAGCCGATTGTAAAAACTTATCAATGATGATTTAATTGACAATATATACACGCACTAAGAGAACAGAATACGATTAGTGTGAGTGTGATCCACGCTTCATACGTGAAATCACTTGACTACTGAGATCATTTTAATCCAGTGAAGATTATGAAACAATTCTATTTGCTTTGCTTATTGGAACATTAATCGAGCGTACTTATCCTATTACGCTTCTTACAGTAATTAATCTCATGATTGCGATATTTTAACAATTTTGCTTTTTTCTTCCAAATAAGTATCGTTATAACCTAATTGAATTTTCAGTGTTTCTTTGATCGAAGATTTCGAAAGCAATACAACTTTTAAATGTTTGAAGAACGGATTAATAATTGATAGTAAAAAATCTACTTAACAGAGATGAACGAAAAGAAATTAATCGATGAAATTATGGAACTGCGTAAGATATTACGTGCAAAAGAAGCTCAACTAGCTACCTTGAAGCGCGAAAAACAAATTTTGCAGGATTACGGTTTAAGTAATGACGAGATATCAAGATACAGCCGACAAATATTTTTGCCAGAAATTGGCATTGAAGGTATATTAAATTAGAAAAGGTTCTAGCACAATCATTTTTGAAAATGAAATACTAATTTCATTATGTAATTGCAGGTCAACTAAAATTGAAAAACAGTTCTGTATTAATTGTCGGAGCAGGTGGTCTTGGGTGTCCTGCTGCTTTATATTTGGCATCAGCTGGTATAGGACACATTGGTATTATCGACTACGATGATGTTGAGATTAACAATCTTCATAGACAACTGTTATATACGGAAACAAGCATAGGGTCATCTAAAGTAGATGCTGCTATGGAACATCTTAATCGGTACTTATAAATTGACAGAATGTTATATATACAAGATTTCATGAAATTTGCACAAACAGTACCTTTCAAATAGCAGAAGAATGTTATACCATACACCAAATGCACTATTTTTTAGAATTGAACTCTTACAAGATCATACTTGATACATTATTGATACATTATTATTATTATACATAAAGAAATTTAGAAGAGTATATTCTGGTGCTACTAACTTTTTTGTGTTGAAAGGATCTTAAATAGAATCACCTGTTTTTTAATGCAATGGCTGATGCAGCTTAATATTCCCTATAAAAAT